ACGAGGAAGACTCAGGAAGACGGACTTGGAGGAAGTTTGACAAAGTTTTGCAGCGTTTGACGGGCTTTTAAAGGAGACAGAGACAAAGAGGGGGCTAATGAGGAAACTGGGAGCAGGTGTGCACAGAACAAGAGGGAAAGAGCTAGGGAAGAAGGAGAACACAAGAGGGCAGCAGAGAGCAACAAATAGAAACCTGGAAGACTGGAAATAGCAACACAATGTTAAATTACTAGGAATATAAAACATGGAGAAAAAAAAACGAAACACTCAAAAGAAAACATAACGGAACCCAGACTAGAACAGTAACTGGAAAAAACCAAAGAACACAGCAAAATAAAAATAAAACCACTAACACTAGAAACCAAGGAGCAAAGCAACACTGAATACTACAACAGAAACAGAAACCTGACAAATATACATTCAGAATTTAGGAATTTTCCATATTTTTCACTTTTATCTAAAATTACCTTCTACTCAAGAAAAACTGATAAATTCAGCCGTAAAAATTAGAGCAATTTGTTTTGAAAAAAACATTTAGCAGATAAAAACTGGGATCCTATCTCGATATCACTGAAGCTATCACCTTATTGTTTTTAAATAATTAGTAAAACAGATTTTTAAAAGAAAAAAATGAAATAGATCCAAAGGAGCTATCAGTAACCATGTCTGTTCCACCGCAGATCATTATTAGAATTTCTTTGAGTATTATGTCTTTGGTACAGGGGCCAGGGCATGATCTACAGGGGCCCTGGCCCCCGTTGGCCCCTGTCTAGATCATGATCGATGCACACATTTAGGGACACACAGGAGCTCTTTCAAGCTGGGCACCGTTTCATTCACAACACCTGTCCCATCAACCAGGAATCAGAAATACTTTAATAATCCCAGGGAGGGATTACTTTAGTTACATTACTCCATCTGTAATAGAGGGACTATAGGACCAGTTTGATAGAACACTATTTCATACAATCTATATAATTAGGGGGTCCCCGCTCCGTCGCCATCATTTTGGGGATCCTTGGATTCAGTGTATTCTCATTATGAGTTTGTATGAAATCGTACGAAAAGTTATGCACCGTAATTTCGTACGTTTTGGACGTTTTCTTCGTCGTATGTGCATGCGCATCTTACGCACCATTCAAGAACATAGAATTTAAAATACAATTAGCCCTAACCCTAAGATATAAAACAGCAAGCAATGTAGTTAGAGTAATGAAGAAGTGATTATTGCACTGTTTTTCCCAGTTTTACGTCCGTCCGCGGATCTGCTTTTTTTTGTCTGTCTGCCAGCGCATGCGCACTGATCTGGTTTTTTGAGGAAAAACGTCCAAAACGTACGAAATAGTGTGCATAACTTTTCGTACG